TGACCAATCCAGAGAGAACAGAAATCGCATTGCCCCTTCCGCGTCAATCGTTACTGCCGTATGTTATAAATGCACTTGCTTGTTGAATACACGCGGACGAATCCTCGCACTCGCCAGCTGAGATACGTACAATTTCCATGCTTTTAAACTCGATTTTACACGTGTAATGCAAAGAAATGTTGTACACAATGAAACCTAGTTAGAAATAATCAGTACTGTATGAAAAATGCATGAAAAATAAAAAAAAAAATTAAACTATACGATGTAATTGTATATAATTTTTTATTAATTTTGAATTGTCTAGCATGTTTTTAACATTAATGAGAAAATATTTGTATTGTGGGTGGAATTTTGCACCAAACTTCTTTCTTCACTCGCAACGTCCTTTCGTAATTGCCTTCGAAGCATTCGTAGAATTTAGGTCGAAAATTGTGCAAGTCGAAGGATCTACCAACAATCCGCGGGCCAACCAAGCGTGATCTTCATGCTTAACTTATCTCGAATGTCGTTAAAGCAAGATTTAGAGCAGTCTTGCGCTCCAGTGTTGCGCTCACACTAGGGACGCCGTGAAAATTGCAATGATCTGGCGAGGATCCGAACAGGATTCGATCGTCGACAATAAAGACGAGTTTGCGACCGTCGAGATGGCCCCGTAGCCGTTGGAAGGCGAGAAAGTGTTACAATATCTTTATTAGCACATCGAGATTTAAGCGACTCGTTGCAATAAAGCCTTAAATCTATTGTACAAGAATCATCTCCGTTTTCCGAGTGCTCGTAATCTCATTTCTGGCCTCATAATTATGTCTGCTGCACGATATCTGTTCTCAATGAGATTTATCAACTTTGCCGGGGATAAAATGGACATAAAGTTTAAAATATATAATATTTTTAATAATTTTCACTCTTTAATTGTAAGACTGCAATTTTTTATATTTTTGCAATTCTTTCATTCCATAGAATTCGTCATCATGTCTTTGTGTTACAAATCTTATTAGAAAATATATTTTCATGGGATAACAACACTCGCGTGCTAGTCATAACGAGACACCGAGTTAAAGCCGATCTCCATCCAGTCCCGACGATCCCGACGATCCGGCTAATCTCCGAGAGCAGCGTTTAGGATGATTAACTTTCACCGCGGCGCGACGGCGAGCGAGGCTTCCGGTGAGCGCGCCACGCTATTGTCAACGGTGTTCTTACTAGGGCGACGCGATTCCGCGTGCGTCGCGCGGCCTTTGTCGCGACACAACGACACCATCAGCGACATCGCGCCGTTCCGTCCTCGCCGATATTTATCCGCGTAGGCGTTTAATGATGGGTTCCGCGGCGAGCGTGCACGCGCGCGCGTGCACGTACACGCTGTCAACCCCGCGACAGGGAAGGTGTCGTCGTCGTGTGAGAATAGAATGCGCGTGTGCGGGAGAATCCGTCGCGACGTGATCGCAAATTCCGATCCGCCTATAAGCGTCAAATATCACGACCCTGAAGTAACACCAACACGAGCGAACCTCCGCCGTTCATCCGGTTCTCTCTGGGAGAGCCACGACGGCGGGGCGCGTGCGAATAATCGTCGCCGACAAATTTCCAAGGCAGAAAACGAACGCGAATGATATCGCGAAATGAAACGGTCCGGCGAACGGTTAACCGTTATGTTTTCATAAGGTGACGAGGCTCGATGTTGAGTTTTGTGACCATGCAGAATCGTGAGCGAATCCATTGTCAATGCGATTCGCTGCAACGATGGTCATCGAGTAACGCCTCGAAGCGGGGTCCAGCTTTTAACGTCGACGGCGTGACGGCAGCCGCGTGCCGAGTTGAAGGCTGAATTTCGTTGCAAGTTGCAACACATCGTGCAGGAAAGAATCGGCCGGCGAAACAGCACGACATTTAGCGGAGAAAAAGCAAAAGGGATCGGACAGTGGTTTTTTTTGTTCGACAATAAGAAGTCACAAAAAGCTCGTCAAACCGTAAAACCCGGAGAGAGCACACTGAGAGGGTTCACATTTTTTTCTGCTTTCTTTTTCATTTCTTTTAATCCCGTCGCCCTGAACAGGTAATTGTGTCAGGACCGCTGTGCCCGAGATCATCGACGGTTGCGCAACAAAGCGGAGCGAGGAGATCCACGAGGATCCGATCTAAGGTCTCGGGGCGTATACACCAGCCTCCTCGATTTACTCTCGCTGTGGTTCGCTTCTCGGGCACTTAAAGCTGAGAAGCTAACTAGAGATTGACCCAGAAAGTCGCGACTTGGATAGAGTTACTGCCGAATAGCCGACGTGGAGATGAGTAATTCGCAGGAAATCACGAGAAATCACGGCGGAATGATTGACATGATTTCATCTGGCAAATCAAGAAATTGGATGAAACGGATCAACCTCATGAAATTAAAATCTGATGAATGAGATAATATCAAAATCGTTATAATTTACATTTTCAGGACACACAATTATCTCATCTTTGTAGCGAAAGAAGTTTCTTTACAGGAAACACACAAAAATAAGATTACATTGCAACGAAGACAATATAATATTCTACTGTTAAATGCAAAATATTAAATTTTAGTTTATTATATAAATCTTACGAAGTTGATTATCTTTTTCTCTTCATTACTTTTTAAACAGAAAAATCTTGCTCTTTATATACAAATTAGTATTATGACAAATCTGAATGGTATAAAAAAAAGTTTCTTTCGAAAATATGTGACGAAACAAAGATAAATGATTTATATAAAGTCTTTCACTTTTGGTTGCACCATCTTTTTTACGTTATGACTAATTAGATAATTAATGCTCGCGTTTATCATGCTTTAGGATAGCATTCCATAATCTAACGATGCGGCGAATAAGTTGAAGAAAAAGCTCGATAAATCGTAAAGCAGTTATAACCGATAAATTGATCGTATCGTCAAAAAACACAAAATCTTTTATAAAATATAACTATCTGAAAGAAGTATAATTACTTTGTAATTGCTTGAGCTAGATAAGACTCTCTTGGTTATTTTTTCTGACAATTTTTATCACGTATTAATTGCCTTATGTTCCTTATCAATGTAGAATCGTAAATTATGGCGTTCAATATAATTAGACGAAATCGTTTCTTGGAAATAATTTCGATATTTACCGTTGTATGTTAGATAACAACAAAGTGTAAAGATATGTTAATTCTAGTAGTTTAAAATATTAAAAATTTAAAACACTTTATTTAAAAATTTTTTGCCGTAGATAAGAAGAGAGTCAAAATTACGAAATCGATCAAAGAGAAAGACAGAAAGACAGAATTGAAAGCGTTTGAGCGAGCAAAATACGAAGCAGTAAACTCGTCCGGTCCTAAAACAACCGGATTGTTGTCGCGGCAAGCCGAGGAAGCCGGAGTAGAATATCTCGTGGTGGGGCAACAATACAGTTGCAGAGGTGAATTAGTATAGTCGGAAGGTGAGGGGTGAAACTAAGAGCATCGCGATGATAAATATCCGTAAGAAACGATTCTCGCATGGAATGAGAGAAATAGAAACATCGATACGCTTCTCATTGTACACAAAGCCGAAATCGAAACAGAGCAAGCTGAGCAGGAAGTCAATAGATCACGTGACATTGGGATAACTAGCCGCATCCAAACCGAAGATACATGATTCGAAAGTTAGGTAATACAGCCAGACCTGTATCTCTCAGACCTATCGAATATCCCTTCAGTCAGACGCTTTGATGAGTTCGGAGGCGATTTTGTCACGAAATTTTAGTGACTTTTAAACGAAATAAATAAAATTGGAATGTAAGATTAATTCATAAATAAAGCAACTTGTGACGAGAAATTGTTAACGACATTGATCCATTTTTCTACACACACACACACATAATGTAAAATTTATGCTAAAAAAAAAAAGGTTGAAATTATTGTTATAAGAGAAGACACAATTATCCGGAAATGCAAATTTCTTCTGTTACGCATATTTCTTTTCACGCTTGGCTTCTTCACACCGTTTAAGTCTCATCGACGAACACGTAGACGCAGAGGAAGAAGAAGAAAAGAAAGGAGAGCCGAGAAAGAAACGGTCTCGCGGAGCGGTAGGGTGTCGATACAGTTGCAAAGGTGAATTAGTTGGCTGGGAGGTTACACCGCGAGTAACGATAGAGAAGAGATAGTGACTGTTCGGTACTCTCCTCATCCTATCCCACCCTCTCTCTTTTCCCTCGCTCCCTCTCGCTTCCGCGTGCAAGCGCGTCTGGCGGGCTGGGAGGATTCCGGTGTGTCGGTGACCATGTCGAGTGGGAGTGGTGCACCAACACCATCCACCGCCGCTCCGAAGCACCGATCCCGGCGCACGGGGAGTGGGAAGGACAGCCGTCGGAGAAGAGTGTGCCGGAGGGGTCTGAGCGGAGGAAACGTCGGCTAGAGGGAGACGTCCTTCGGTGGCGGAGTAGGAAAGGAAACACGAAGAAGTGGATGGCAGACGTTGGTGGGGGTTGGTAACAGTAGACAGGGGAAGGGGGAGGGCAGGTCGCGTGCCGGCGTGGTGCTACTCCGAGGCTGAAAGAGAGGAGAGCACTTACCTTACCGACGTCTCTCACGGTTAACACGCAGGGGAGCTCCTTCGCTATCCTCCGCGTGCACACAGTGACGACCGCGTACGTGCATACGCGCGCGCACGCACGCACATACATAATACACGTTGACTCTCCGCACCCACACACACACACACACACGCACACACACGCTCGCGCTCCGACCATACCGAGCGATCCGGTGCACTCATACATACATGCACACACGACGACGTGGTGTGTTTTCCGTGCACGGCTCACCTACCTACCTACCTACCTACTTACTAACCTACCCACCGGCCTACGGATTCAGTCTCCCCGTCCAATCGACAGTACCCACGACTGATACGTGACTGCGTGTCTGTATACGCGCGTCCCCGGTGCGTCTGTGTGTGCGACGTACGTGCGCGGCATCAGCCGTTTTGCACACCGGCACACGGCTTACTCACCACCGTACGGACCACTACGCTCTCGTCGCGTCTCACGAATCTCCACCGAGAACGTTCTCGGTTCTTGCTGATATTCCGCTTCGTCCGCGGCAGGAAGGCGAGAGAGAGAGAGAGAGAGAGAGAGAGAAAGAGGGAGGGGGGATATCACACGCCTCGGGAGAGGACCTGGACAACGGAGCACCAAACGATCGCTGGACGGTGGTGAGCAACGTGGTTTCGCTCCTTTCCGTCGCCTCCCGAGAGAGAAACCAACAACTAGATTTCGATCCTTCTATCGGCGCAGGACACGTGCGATTCGATTTATCGACAACTCGAGAATGACAACGTGACTCCTTGATCTTCGATTGTGCGAGAACGGGAGAACGAGATCTATCGTTCGGCAACGATCGGAGCGCGGTGACAAAACGGACTCTAGTCAAGAAAAGGAAATCGAGAGCAAACGGTGGAAGCTGCTTGGTGTACGGTGTGTGTGCCGCTCGTCGCTCGAGAAAGGGACACGCGTTGTGTATCGTCGAACAGGAGCGAGGAACGATCGAAACCGTTACCCGAGCACGTGGTCGGTAGCACGAGGTGTAGAAAACGGGAGAAGCTTCCGCGATGGGCCGTCCTGTGAGCCATTGAGGAACGATCTTTGAGTTAGCGGGGATGTTCGTGCGGACGTTTCTCGATGTCTCGTATTCTCGTAAGGGCCACGTCACGCGCACACGTGGAAGGGCCTAAGGAGAGAAGAGGAAGAGTGATCTCGAGTGTGAGGCTAGTGTGTTGTTGTAAAACGAGTGCTCCGCTGTACCAGGATTTCTTCCGCCATCTCTTACCCCCCGGTGCCGTCTGACTCTTTATTTTTATATTCTCTCTCTTTCTCTTTTCCTCTTTTATCTCTCTCTCTCTCTCTCTTTCTCTCTTTCTCTCTACCCTTGTGAGCACACGGCAAGTGGAAAAGTGTCACAAATCAACGGGAATGCAGAAACCGCTAACCACCCTCGGCTTCAAGGTCGTGGAATGACGTATATGGTAAAGTGGATTTTTTATCTTTCTTCCCGTTCGTCGTCCCGGCACTGGCATACCGTGTGTTATTACATCGCGGTGCCCCGAACGGCGTCCCTTCTGAATATTTATGAGAGTCGCGCGATCGTGTTCGGCACTCATTGACAAATCCCTGGGAAAACGATGAGAACGTTAAAATGCAAAGTTTCTAAAATTAGAAACTTTGCATTTTATTCTAAATACACCGATTTCCCGTCAAATCGCATAAAAAAATAATCCAGATAATGACATAAAATAAGAATTGGAGAAACAGAAATTTTGTTGTTCTCTGGGGAAAATATAAAAATTTGCAATGTAATATGATATATACATTATTTATAAAACTCAGGCAAAATTTAAAACATTAATATTATTGACGCTGTTACGTTTAGAATTGTATAACATAAACGCACAAGAATAAATTAAAAACACAAACTCGTATCTTCTATGAATAAAGTTCTAAGATAAAAATTGTCATGATACTTTCACGTCACTTTTAGATGTGAAATCTTAACATTTATTATTTTTGGATTATAATATAAGAGACGTTCGCGCTGTCGGTATTTTCTCGTTGACGCGGCGGCTCGTCGTCGACGAAATCTCGATTCGTACTCCTGGCGCCGGCGTCTCGCGCTCCTGATAATTACGAGCTGCTATTAAATGCAGACCAAGTGTTGTGAACGTAGCAATCTGCGAACGAGAGCATTGAAAGGGAATAGTAACAGGCAGATAGAGAGGTTTTCATTTGAATAAAAACAATCGAAAGCGCATAGTCAAGTGCGACTGCGGAAATTATCTCGCGAACGTTCGTTGACGTTGCGTCCGATGAGTGTGCATACTTTGCAAGGAGAAAATATGATAGTAATTGGACGTAAGTAGAGAGAAAAAGAGAGTTGATTAATAAGATATAAATATTTACTTGCTACATTTTTCATAGCGCGATTTATAATTATAGAGATTTGCGAATATCTCTCGATATGTGTTTTCAAAATTATATTAACAAATTTATTAATGCTGTAAAAATATTTTGAGTACTACTTTAATACGGTACTTCTGATATCTAATCGAATACTCGAATACTCGAATAACTTCAGATATTTAATAACCGTGAATGGGTATTCGACAGTTAGAATTTATATAAAATACTTGATTAGATCGCGCGTGCATGTTTTCTCACACACCACAATTCGATGAGGAATAATCTTAGGCAGCGCAATTGAACGCGGCCAGAAAGTCTTGCAAATCGTCGCGGTATAAATTCGCGTCTTCGTAGGTTTTGCGCAAAATGGATTGGACATCTAATTCGCTCGAAACCAGTTCTAAAGCTGCGCTTGCGATCCCGCGCAAAAGCGAGTCGCCCACGCGCGTCCTTATATCACCGAACGGTTCGTTCTGCCGGTCAGGAAAGCAGACGTTGCAAAAGCTATGTTCCTTTGCTATTCCTGCCGTTTCCTCGTTCATAAATTTACGTGCCTCCAGGCGCGCGCGACTGCGCCCATTCGAAGGATAGGAAACACGTGAGATTACCGGGTAGAGAAGATAAGCAGAACCCTGATATGTATATACACATTCGCGTTGAAATAATCAAAATAACGCGCATAACATAAACAACGATGCGCGTAAAATAATTTGAAGATTCCATTTCATGCACAAACACGTTTAAGATATTTATTAAATAACAAGGACGCAGCTGTGTGAAACATTAAAAAAATGTAAATGCTGCGAACAGTATAGGTAAAAAGAAAATATGCTAATTATTTTATAAATTCTATTAATTTTATTTTAACCAGTTATTCTGAGAAGATATAGGATGTAGATATGGGATGAGAATATTCGGATTAAGTAGCACGAGATACCAGCAATGCATTCATAGAAGATGATTTGTGTCTCTAGCGTGCGCAACGCGCGTAATAAGATATGGCGACGTTAACAGTTAATTGATAACAGGTAAGTCGGGGGCGCCGTGATTTTTGTCGCCACGCTAAGCCACGCTGATCTCGAGATGTAGACTAACCGACCGACCGACAGCGCCGTTAACAGTTATGTGAAACCAATGCGGCCGAGAGAGCACAGGCCGCTCTTGTCCCGTGGCCCATTATTTTCTTCTCCCTGAGCTGTTGCTCTTACTGCTGTCCGATCCATCTCTGCCTCGCTATCGGCAATTTGTTAGAATCGACTTCGTACGTGCGCCGACGCGCCCATGACTATCCGCATGCGATAAATCGCAAATTACGTCGGGCGCGAACACTGCGCATCGCACGAAAGTAAATGATACGCGCCGGAGAAGGCCCTTTCGCCTTAGGAACAGCGATAACTTGCGCGGCCGTACAAGCAGAAAATTTGAAGAAGTAAATCTGCGTGAATAACGAGTTTCTTTCGGCTGTAGGCTTTCCTTTTGTTGCGCGCCAAACTGATTGACGGCGAAAAGATCGGTGGGGGGGAGAAAACAAACTCGGGCCTACAAATTTAATCATTCGCGCTTCTCGTGAATGCTGTATTCCAAAATACATCTAGTGTATTTTATCTAGCTTATTTTATGCCCAACAATTTGATCGATTAAACGTAAAATTAAATATACAGTAAAATAAACATATAGTTTAAAATACATAGCTGTAGATGATAATTTTGCCTACATTTTTCTCTTCACTTCATTCTTGAAAAAGTGAGTAGACGATGAATCTCTGGCTGTGGCAGTGTCAAGCAATGTTACGCGAACGACATCGGGATCCTACCTCTTTTTTTTTTTTGTTGCTCAACAATCCGGGCAAACGTGTACAAGCAGTAGGTCGGGTATTTGAATACACCGGCTATTACGAGAATAGGGAGCACGACAATCATGAGAGATTCCCAGACGTTCGAACAATGTCCTCACCTCGACTAGTGCAAACGGCAATAAAACGGGCTCCAAACGACATTAACGTCACCGAGTACCGGCCATTAAGTATATGTCTTCTGCCGCGCTGATCCTGCCGAGAATCTTCCATAGTCTGCGATAAATGTGCACTGCTCTTATATTAAAAATCTTTTTATTCAATATATCGCAAGATAATATTCAATACAAAATAATTAATTGAATTCTACATTATTATAATGTCGTTGCCTTGATTTTAGATTTTAGATCAGAAACAATATAATTTACTTTTGTTACAACAATTCAACGTTATCTGCTATCTAAACTATCTTATTTTCTACTTTTCGATTTTGTTCTTGAAATTTTCTTCGAATATTACACTTCACAATACATATTTCGTAAAAATTTCTTTTTTTTAATACAAGATTTTGAACTTTGAAGTTTGATTTTTTTCTACAATCATTACACACATTTTTAAAACTCTTTAGTTCTCATTCTATAAAATTAAATAAAGCATCTTAAATTGTAAAACATTATAATAATAATTTAATTTGCTTTTAATGATTTATTGATGTTAGTAGCTATTCGCACATCCTTAAATGAATGATCTGAATGGACGCAAGTGTTATTTTCTTGCGGCGTGAATTCACTTTGTGATTCAAATTATACTTAGCCTAACAGCGAGCTTATATAAGAAGCCGTTTAAGAGGAGAAAATTGAAATAATTTCAATCGTCTTTTTGCGGGGATGCTTACAGCCATAAATGTAAATTCGTCTCACGACGAGGACGGGATCTTCAGTGGCATAATGCCGATGCGTGGGCTCGCGTTTGCTAAGTCTATTTATACATTCTTACGCGTACAATGGACTTGCTGCTTTTAAATTAAATTCGAGCACTGCCATTGTTAAGTCCGTTAGAAATTTCATTTCGTATTACAGAAACAATGAATCGACAATAAATCAAAAAAATTTCGCTAGACAGAATTGCGACTGACACTGAACTCTATATAATTCTGCAATAAACGATTGCGATAATAATATTTGTATTTTATCAATAATAATTCTTACGTGTTGATAATGACAAGTTCTGGGAATTTAATATTGCTTTACATTTAAAGACGCCCGCCAAAAAAAAAAGAAAAAATCGTGCGAACCGGTTTATAAATAAAATTATGTGTAAGCCGCGCCAGAAATGTCGCATCGCGCCCAAACCTGCAGCCGATCATAAAAGATGTTTATACTCTGGACTTTTGTTAGTCGAGAGTATAACTGTCCTCAAAATGCTCCTAAAGAATTCGAATATACGAATCTTGCGAATTGAAGTCTGCTACCATTATTGCTGATTCCGCGAAATGCGAATTAACTCGTGATGAAAATAAAAATTTACTGACTTGCTCGGAGCGAAAAATATGCAAAAACATGGGTAATTCGTTGCAGGCGTGTTGCGCCCTGCTGAAATATCATTCAGCGAGAGACCTAAACATGAAGCTGACATTTTTATGATCAGGTTACAATCACTGAACATTACAGCGAAGGCGCGTTTTTACTCCCGCGTTGATTTATGGGCCGTGTCGGCGGAGACGGCCGCATAAGGACAAAGCGCATCTCTTGAGCAAACTGCATATTAATTAACTATTCTCGCCGAAAAAGAAACGCGAAGATAATCTTGAGCCGAGTTACGCCGGTGATCTCGTCGTAACTCACGGACGAGCCGACCGAAACACGCAACCTTATATAATGAACTTCCGTACGCGGTTGCACTTTCCATACATTTTTTTGCGCAAAATAATGTCATAATAATACTGTAAATAAATATATCACTCGCTAGTTAATTGTAGTTGACGCGACAATGTTGGCCTTGCGTGGTGAAACTGCATTGACTGCATCTTCGAATGGACAATGCAGCGACCTTGTCGGCGTGGACAGATAATTGTAGCGCCTCGATGGAAACTTAAATTTGAGGCCACAGCCTACATTCGTGATGTAAGAACGGCGATAACATCGTACAGTGCGTAAAGTGGCGAACAGAGATGCAAAAAAGGGCCGAACAGTACCTACGTTTTTTTTTTTTTTATTATTCAACGCTTACATGCGCACCTCCATTTATCTCTCTCATTTTCTTTCTCTCTTTCTCGTA